ATTGTTTCTAAACACAACCAACCTGTTTCAAACCTGCCCAACACAACCCAAAACTCAAATACAAAGAGTTAAAGGACGGAAACGAGAATAAGACTACAACACCCTTCCACGGAACCGAGTCCGGAATACAATTAACAATGCAGTGAAAATCGGGATCGCTATAAAAGATGTGCTTGGTGAAGTAAGATGTGTAAACATTACTCCTTTTTGAGCTGGTGGAGTATTAGTTGTGCTTGGTGGAATCAATTCTCTCGATCTCTCTCGTTCACGTTGCGAACGTTGTCCCAATTGATATGATGAGCTTGCCTTATAACTTCTAAAGCTGAATCAGGGTCATAAATGTACAATTGTGCATAAGTTGCATCTTGCCCTGATTGTGGTAGTAGTGATTCTGTTCGATGTTGTAATTCCCCATGGATAGTGAATGATGTAGGGCCTCTTCCAGTAAGTACTCTTGGATCTAATGTAGCACCAAGACTTGTAAAAGCATTGGTTGCATTGTACACTCGAGTATAACGTCGAAACGATTTTGATTTATCATCATTCCCATCATATAATGCTTGAAGAAGTGAAGGGGGTGTAATAAGCAGAGGAAGCTTAACCTTCCCTTTTGAACAACATGTTCCGAATAGAGGACGGTTTGGAGATGATTTTACTAATTTTTCATCCATCCAATGTAACGCTGAACATAAAGGACATAATACATCCATCTTGCCAAGAGAATGACGACATGAATTTATATGTGCTCGAGTACCAACCATTGGACTCATAGGCATATCCTCTAATTCCTCATTAGTACATAGATCCTCTTGAAGGGAAGGAGTTGTAAGAGTAGGCCTACAAATATTGGTTCTGTGTAAATTAAAATAGAATGGTAATAGTAGGAGTATGTATTTGAAGAATTAAACACTCTTTTACCAATTCCTTTGTGGAGCTAAAGATGTGCTTGGCATTGAAAACGAACATGTGGAAGGATGTGCAACCATTGTTCGTTTTTGCACTGACTGAGTGTCCTCAGTTGCCTTTGTTCCTAGTTGCAAGCAAGCACGACTACGACGACACGGTATTAAAGAAGTTTGTCTCGGTTGAATACATTCTCTTGATTTCTCCCATTCTCACCGTGCACGTTGGGCCAATGTAGCTTTTGATATAACATTGTTATTGTGTGCCTAAAATGTGAATATTATATCATTGATACCTAAAATACAAATATTATCATATACTATTTTATTTCTTTTTCTTCCTGTCTTGTGATAATTTTAAGAATATTTTTACATTTTCTTTGTCATACTTCCTTTTCCATTTTGCTTCATTTTCCCTCTTCATGCCTTGTGATATAACAATTTATTTTTTAATTATTGTTTTCTCTTTCTTCTTGCCTCGTGATGATTTTAAGAAAATTAAAAATATTTTCTATGCCTATGTTCCTCTGCTCCTTTGCTTAGATGTTATAAAGTTTTTCTTGGAGTTGATAAAGGTTACAATTATTTTTTCGGAAATGTTAAAGAGAGCTAAAAATACTTTGTTTGAGTGTACAGAAAACAAAGAGCACACAAAAAAAATTGACAACACAGTTTACATTTTTAAAAATATACATGATCAATGTTCACTTAAACAATATGATTGGCTTTGTTTTACTCGATAAATATTTTTTTAAAGACGTTGAATATATACCATTGGACATGCGTTTTCCTTTCCTTTGTCAAAAGAAGTTGCCTTTTCTTTTCCTTTAGACATTGCCTTGGCCTTTTCCTTTTCCTTTGCCTACCAAAAATAAATAAAATTTATTCAGAATACGAAAAAGAACATGTATTTATAGAATTTATTAAGATTACGAAAAAAGAACATTTTGAACTTGATATTTATACTTACCTTAGAATTGCGGATAATATTAAGATTGCACTCATCACGAATAACAACACCGATATTCCTAGTCTCATGGAGCAATGGGTTTGCATGAGTAGGCCTACAAATATTTGTTGTGTACAAAATAAAATTTGTTAAATAAAATCTTAACAATAAGAATATGTATTTGTAGAATTAAATACAATGTTTTACCAATTCCTTTGTGAAGCTAAATATGTGCTTGGCGAAGGTAGATGTGTAAACATTACTCCTTTCTGAGCCGGTGGAGTATTAGTTGTGCTTGGTGGAATCAATTCTCTCGATCTTTCTCGTTCACGTCGCGAACGTTGTCCCAATTGATATGAAGAGCTTGCCTTATCATTTCTTTTGCGTTCTCGCCGTGCACGTTGAGCCAATGCAGCTTTCGATATAACATTATTGTTATGTGCCTAAAACATGAAGATTAATTTCATAAGATGCCTAAATTTTATCATCTACTGTTTTATACTTTTCTCTTCATTTTTCATTTCTATTAATTTGCTTTATCTTAATTCCCTTTCCTTCTGATATTTTGTAAAAAAATTGAAAAACTTTTTCATTCTGTATCCCTCCTCCCCTCATTCATTTTTTGTTCTATTCCTTTTTTATTCTCTTATAGATGTTCATGTCAATAGCAAAAAGCCAAAAAAGAATAATAATAATTTAAAACAAATATAATGTTTTTTGTACAAATGCTATTTTAGCATGCTTCAAAAAAAAGATTTCACAAATTTATATGAAACTGTTTACTATAAGAACAGTATATGTCACTATGCAAGTAGTATGTCAATTTTACATTTAAAAATAAATAAAAAATCAAGGTTCATGGTCCAAAATAAATATTTCAAAAAAAGAACTTTAAATGGAAATGTTGAAGAGCCATACTACTGAACATGCATTTTCCTTTCCCTTGCCCGAAACGGTGGTCTTTTTGTTTTTCTTCAACAATGCCTTGGCAATTTCTTTTTCTTTTGCCTACAAAAAATTAAAAAAAAATTTAAATAATAAAGAATAAAGAAAAAAAAAATATATATATATATATATATGTAGAAAGTTTTTAAAAAATATATAAATAAGAATATACGGTGTATACGGTGTTTTGAATGAAAAAAAATCTATATAATTAAATTGGGCCTACCTCTCGAAGACGGATGACATTAAGGTCACGCTCATCACGGATAACAACATTAACATTTCTTTCTTGAAGAAATTGGACCTAAAAATACAAAAGAATTAGAGGTAAAAAAAAATAAAAAAAATTATACATGTAAGAAAATGAGTAAAAAGAATCAGTATTACAGTTCGACGTAGGTCTCCATCCATCCATCTGTAAATTATAAGAAAAGAGAATTTTGTTATAAGGAATTAGATAAAAAAAAATTATGAAAAGAAAAGAAAATTGACTTTTGCTTATAAGAAAAATGTTTTTTTTTTTTCAAATAAATAAAAAAGAAAACAACTTACGTGACCAAAAATAGTAATGTTGTCCATAATTAGCGGTTGAAGGTCAATGGTGTCTCAACCTGAAAGTGCCTAGTTATGTAAATTTGACAAAGATAACTGAATATCACAAAATGAGGTTCTTTATGTCTTCAAAATGAGGTTCTTTATGGCAAAATGAGGTTTAATAATTGCCATAAAGAAACATTAATCGCTACAAAATTAACAACCTCCTAACATATTTTAGTTAACAACCTAGTTTAAGAAGTTCGTTTGTGCATGAATATCACAGATGGAGAAATTGACCTACTACAGGATAGAAGGAAAATTATAATTTTTTTATGTCTTCAATATACATTAAAAAGGATAGAAGAAAAATTAAATACTCTCATAGAAATCTTCATAATTTTTCTCTATTGACAAAAATGTAAAACTATAGCAATACATGATTTTGTGGCTCACCACACTGTAATTGCAAAATTACAAATACCTTTTGCATGATCTGTATAATTGCAAATGTCTTTTTCAAAAAAGTATACTACACAGTAGCTTATTTACTCCAAGGAGTAATACTCTCATAAAAATCATTAAAAAGTTAGTAAAACAAAATTTTAAAATAAGTTTAAGTTTTTTCAAAAGTCTTGATAAACATCTAAAAAGTCTTTTTTTGTTTGAAAAATTCCATAAATAAAATTGAAACAGCAAAATAAACTGGACTCTTTTTAAAGAGAGAGAAGCCTAAACATTTTAAAATAGCAGTTTAATAAAAAACCAAATTAAAAACAATTCACTAAAAGCAAAAAAAATAAGGGTCATCAAATAAAAAGGATTAACTTTTTAATATTCCCTTTTCCTTTCAATCAACAAATTCCCTTCAAATCCTAAATCCAAATACAGCCTAAGAGAGATGGAAAAAAAAAAAGAAAAAAAAGAAGACCTATCATATTACAAAATTAAACTATAACAAAATCTTTGTAAAAATTAAAAAAAAAAAAAAGAATAGTTATTCAGGCCCAAAAGAGGACTGGTTGATAATTAAATATTATCTAATTATCAACCAATCATCTTCTTAACACATCACTGGGTCTATAAAATGGGTATAAAAAATGAACTTGTATATCATTATTAAAAAAAAAAGACATAAGTATTCACATAATTCATCATACATTCCAAAAAAAAAAAAGTATTCTCTAGAAATTGAATAGCTGTATACCAAGATACATAACTATACACACTATATTAGATTTCTTTCTAAACCAAACATTAAAAGCTTAATGTGTAATCTAATTATTGAAAAATCGAAGACCAAACATGAAAATTCAAGGGCATTAAAGAAATCTAGGAGAGTTCATTCATTAATCCAGAACATTCATTAACCCACTGCAATTAGAAAAAGAAAGCAAGGAACTAATAAAGAATTGCAATGGAGAGACTTCCTAACCTGAGTATCTGCTTGAGAAGCAAAATTAAAGGAATCTGAGACAGAAGGATAAAAAGAAAAACACAATTAGTAAGAGCACTCCTCAACACTAAAACTGTATACGAATATATTTTCATATTTGACGAATAAGAATCTGACCACTAATGATTAATGAAAACCTCAACCCATTTGATTAAGATGAAATAAAAATGATTGTTGACACGAAATATAACTGCAAGGAGGCAGAATGAAGTTTAATAATTGCCATAAAAAACAATTAATTGACACAGAATTACCTACTTTAAAAAGTCTTTTTTAAAAAAAAAAAATTCCAAAATTAATATTTAAAAAGCTAAATCTTTAGAGAGAGAGAGAGAAGCGTAAGAGCACTCCTCAAATGTATACGAATCTATTTTTATGTTTGATGAGTAAGAATATGACCATTGATGATTAATGAGAACCTCAACCTATTTGATTAAGATGAAATAAAAATGATTGTTGACATGAAATATAACTGTAAGAGAGCAGAATGAGATTTAGTAATTGCCATAAAGAAAAATTAATTGACACAGAATGAACAACCTTATAACATATTTTAGTTAACAACCTACTTTAAGAAGTTCATATGTGCATGAATATCACAGATGGAGAAATTGAACTACTACATGATTGAAGGCAAATTATAATTTTTTTATGTCTTCAATATACATTAAAAAGGATAGAAGAAAATTTGAATACTATCATAGAAATCTTCATCATTTTTCTCTATTGGCCAAAATGTAGAACTATTGCAATACATGATTTTGCAGATGATTCTATATAGTAATTTTGCATTGACAACAGTTAAATTCTTATGGATTGTATTGCCCACTTTTTGTACTAAGAACTAATGTATACCACACCAAAAACAAAAAAAAACAAAAAAAAGTAAATTATAAAAATATATAAATTATACTACTTATGAATAAAATTTTAGCAAAACTTCAATATAGAAATTTAATTACTAATTTTGCATTTTAAAATGTGAAAAAAAATAAGTAAAAAACTACAATAAAAATTGATAAAAAGTTTCACCACACTATAACTGGATAATTACAAATATCTTTGGTCTTATCTATATAATTACAAATGCTTTTTTCAATACTCATAAAAATTATGCTACACAGTAGCTTATTTACTCCCATGAGTACTACACAGTAGCTTATTTAATCAAAAATATCTTTCATTAACCAATTTTTCCATATTTTCCATTCAAAAGTTCTATTTATTTATTTATTTATTTATAATTATATGTTTTAGGATAGTTTCAAAAGTTTCAAAAGTTTCTCCGTTATCTCTTAAGTTTCAAAAGTTCTATTTATTTATTCAAAAGTTCTCAAATATATAATTTTTCCATAGTTTCCATTCAAACGGTGAAGAAAGTTAAAACTTTCAATTTCATTTTCCTTCATTTTTCTCACATACCAAACAATAATGTATAAGATTCAAACTATTATCTTCTTTCTCTCAACAATCAACTGCCAAACTTAAGAGAGAGAGAGAGAGAGAGAGAGAGAGAGAGAGAGAATCTAAAAAAACAGAGATCGAAGTACTAACCAGAGCGTCGAGAAACAATCTGCAAGTAAGAACAAAACACAATCAGAAATCAAACATAAAATTGAAAAAGAACAAAAAAAAAATCACAAAAATAAAAAATTATGACAAACCATCATTTTGTCAACCCATATTTGGTGAGTACAAATATGACTATTGATAATTATGACTATTGATAATTAAAGAGAGCCTCAACCCATTTAACTAAGATGAAATAAAAATGATTCTTAACATAAAATCCATTTTTCCTTAACCCCCATTTGAGAGAGAGAGAGAGAGAGAGAGAGAGAGTGAAACCCAATTGATTATTAAAATTATTAAAGAAAAAAACACAACACAAAATTTCATTTTGTATTTTGAGACATTTGAGACAATTGATAAAAATTTTAAAATTCTAACAAACTGTCATTTTGTCAACCTATATTTGGTGAGTAAAAATATGACTATTAATAATTAAATAAAGTCTCAACCCATTTAACTAAGATAAAATAAAAATGAATCTTAATTTGAAATCCATTTTTCCTTAACTCCCATTTGAGAGAGAGAGAGAGAGAGAAGTGGGTGTTGAAACCCAATTGATTATTAAAGAAAAAAACACAACACAGAATTTCATTTTGTATTTTGAGACTTTTGAGACAATTGATAAAAATTTTAAAATTCTAACAAACTGTCATTTTGTCAACCTATATTTGGTGAGTAAAAATATGACTATTAATAATTAAATAAAGTCTCAACTCATTTAACTAAGATAAAATAAAAATGAATCTTAATTTGAAATCCATTTTTCCTTAACCCCCATTTGATAGAGAGAGAGAAGTGGGTGTTGAAACCCAATTGATTATTAAACAAAAAAACACAATACAGAATCTCATAACAAAGCTTGACCTTGATATAAATTAATCATATTGAAATGGGTTGAAATAAACTCCAAACAATCTCCATCCCTCAATCACAAACAAAGCTTGACCTTGATAAAATCCAACACCTTTACCCACTCTACACATGCTCCGTTAAAAATACATTCATTCCGAAACTTCCAAAGAGACTAAAAAATAGCAATCAGGATTGAAAACCCATATCTAACCCACCTGATAATGATATTGTCTGTTTTTGTGATATTGTTTGATCAAATTTAGTTTTATTTTTGTGATATTGTTTTTCTATAGAATTGTTTTTGTGATCAATTTAATCAAAACTTGATCAAACTTATACAAAACACAAATCATAATCTAAATTGTTAAACTTATAGAATTGTTAAATACTTTTGTGGCCAACACGCTATTGATCAAACTTATAGAATTGTTAAATTTTTTTGTCTCATAATCTTAGTACAAAACACAAATCCAAGAGATTAAACAATCTTAAAAAAACCATATGACATGCATGGAATTAGGTAGATGATTGAATCAAATTATCAACTAAGCAATGAAATGCACTGTTATCAACTAAGCAATGAATTAGTAGTGGAATTCACCAAATTATAATTTTAACTAATTTAGAAAAGACAAAAATCGAGGAAATCTCGATATCATAACAATAGAGAGTTGAGTGAGTATACACATATTGACATGAATATTATTTAAAATAAAAGCTTAAAATGGGTCTATAGCTTAAAATACGATTTCAAGATTCTTATTCTAAACCGCAGAATCACAGTTATAGAGCGGAATCATCACCTCAATAGAAGATTCATGCAACTAAGATTTGCAGAGCAGATCAAACCTAAGAGCTAATATTAGGTGCTATCTTTGGATGTCTACACAGAAGACTTTCATGTGTATGGTCACTTTGGTTTTAGTGGGCTTGGGTTTCAATTCTTGGATGAATGTTCAAAAGAAAATTGTAGATTCAAATTTCAAGCCAAATTCTGCAAATATCATTCACCAGTTTTAATTGTCCCATCCACATTCTCCTGAATAATAAAACAGTGAACTCTTGGAATTGCATTCTTTGTCTGAATGAATTGACCCTGACAATCTTTCTGGAGATAATTAATTTTTTACAGTTGAGGTAAGGTTTTTTTTATTTTTTTTTAAAAAAAAGTATATCTTTACTTATGTCTAAACTAAGAAACAATCAATAATTCACACTCTCAGATGAGTCTCAGATATTTACTGAAACATGCATATGTTTGTTTTGATAGACAATGAATTAAGAAAAGGAAAATTAACAGGGTGCAAACAGCCCCATGTCAACACTTTTCTGAAATCCTCATAGAAATACTTTTCTGCAAACAGCCCCATTTCAATTACTCATAGAAATCTTATTCAATACTTTTCTGAAATCCTCATAGGTTTAGTTGATGAAACCCACAAATATGAACCTAAAATCGAAACTTTTGCAATATCTGAATTTTAGGTTTTGTATAGATATTTTCCTTGATAGAAATTGCCGAATGTAACAATGAAAAGAGTAACCTGGAACTGGGGAACTTGAAACACAAGGTTGCTGCAAGCTAGACCCACAAGAAAGAAGAGTTCCTGTATAATTGAAGCATGTGATGTATGAGATAGAGTAACACAATGAAACTACATAAATAAATAAATAAATAAATAATGTAATAATTTTGAGTTTCCTAATAAATATATGCATTTGCTCATAAAATTCACGAAAACTTCACATTAAAAATAATATAAAAAAGCAATATGCTGAGCAACATCTTACATCTAAAAGTAATGAAATTTGAATTTCCATTTAATAAGCGAAAATTAATGGCAATTTTAGATCAATATAATAGTTCCTTTGCTTTTCCTTATGACTTAGTTATTACTATAATGGCAATGACAAAATGAAAGTGGGCATTAACTGTAGCAAATTTCCTGCACTGCTTTTTCATGAACATCTCTGATTTATAAATACTTTGTATTATCATGTAGTTCAAGCCCATACTATCACCAATTACCAAGTTCAATAAGATAGAGTTTACAAATCAGTGAACTGCCTAACTACCCTTCCCTCAATTAAGGGATCCTTATTTTTGAAAAAAGTTGGACAGATTGCCTCACTACAATAAGTCATCAATTGTAATTGCCAAACTTCACAAGCAGTATGTCATACAACATGGGCTCGGTAGGAGAAAACTAAGCTTCAAAATAAAACCAAGAACAATGAAGGCCTGTTTATGGCAAATTCAACCAATAGATTGTAATGACAGCAAAGCAGGTAAGCACTTCAAAAGAGAAAACAACACGTGTTACAACTTTGACTTGTTGATGAAACCCACAAATATGAACCTAAAATCGAAATATAAACCCAATATAATCATTACAAAACCCATTATAATCATAATTGAAATATAAACCCATTACAAAACCAAAATACAATTTTATAGAAATCAAAACCAAAATCGAACCCATCAATGAAATAGAAATATATAAACTCATCATATTTGCAACTAATTTCATAAACCTATCATAAACTTATAAAAGAGCAGAGAAGAAACACATATGAAGAGTTGCTATCATAAACCTATCATAAACCCATTTCAATGAAATCAAAATCCATCAATGAAACCGAAATCAAAATGGAACCGAAATAGAAAATCCATCAATGAAATCAAAATCCATCATATAAAATCCATCAATATTTACAGAAGAGTGAAAGAGCAGAGAAGAAACACATATGAAGAGTTGCTGGAGATTGCTAAAACCAGTGAGGAAAATGGTGAGTTGGTGGAGTATGTGAAGAGACACATTTTGGAGGGAAAAAGCTAAAACAAACAAATTAGAATTTTTTGCTTCAGAATTTTGATAAGTAAATTTTTGCAGAGACAGAGTAAGTAAATTTTTTGCTTCAGAATTTTTTTTTTTTTTTTTGCTTCAGAAAAAAAAAAACGGAAGTGGTAAAAAAAAATGTAAGCCATTGTTTAGCATTCGAACTAAAGGTGGGGATTACGGGATGATGAAAAAAAAAAAAACAGAGGAGAGAAGACAGAGGAGAGAAGAGTGCCTTACCTGGTGATGGTGGAGAAGAGAGCTTTCTATTGAGCTGTGTTCTTCCTTCGATTGAGCTCTCTTTCTTCAGATACATATCGATACATATGATACAAATGATGCCTTACCTGGTAAAATGCAGTGGGTTGGTGAGAGTTGTTAGGAATACAAATCTGGACCATTGGATTTTAGCCATGGACAAATCTAAACCATTGAAACTCTTTTCAATCTCAGCCATTGTTTTTAAATTGGACAAATCTCAACCATTAAAGATAGTTTGTGAGAGAGACATTTTCAAAAATAAATATGAGCCATTGCTTTTAAATCTAAATAGATCTAAACCATTGATTTGAAAGACATTTTCAAATTAACCCTTCCATTGTTATATAGATAATATATCAAATGTGTCCTAAAAAAGTGTACTTTTTCCCTACAGTTTAAAAAACGTGTAAAAAAGTAGAGAGGCGATATAACCAAAAAGAAGTTAAAGGCCAAAAAACTGATTTTAACGTCGTCCTCAAAAGAGGCCATTATGTTTAATATGAAAAACTTTCGAGCAGTTTCGGTTTAATTTGGCGCACAAGGTGCCTAAATCAATACTGAACCAAAAATAAATAAATAAAAAATTAAAAAAACTACACAGACCGATTCATATAAAAAGACTGACCCAATATAGGCAGTTTGGTTTGATTTGATTTGATTCAATCAGTTTGGTCGATTTTTCTTACCTCTTAGTGCTAGCCAAAATAAAAGTATTACGTAAATGATATTTTTTTGAAAAATAGAACTATTACATATTAACAAAAAATATAGGTAGAGAACTCTTTTATGATTGTGGAATAAAGTGTTACAGATTTGTTTGTTAAAGATAACGGAAATTGTGTTACACGCTCTCAAATTGAGAGTGGGCAATGTAAAAGTATTAAGTCAAAGTAAAAAATTGAATCAAATGTTAATAATATCCCCATATTAATCTTATTTTCTAAATTAAGGGTTGGTTTGGGATGTTTTAAAAAAGTGCACTTTTTGACTTATTGGCTTATATGGGTTGGGTTTGGATTGGGTTTGATGTGATGTGTTAGAGAGGTGACGTGATTTAAATAAGATGATGCGACTTAAATAGGATAGTGATTTTTTGACTTTTTGTATTATTTAAGTTATGCCAAACTTGGCCTAAATCATAATCCTAACCAACCCCTAACCCTAATTGTCATCTTTTATAAAAATTTAATTTAAAATGTTATTAAATGAAAAATTGAGTTAAAAATTAAATAGTAGATTAAGGTAATTTTATAGTAATAAATTAGATTGTTTAGATTAGTTTATGGATGATGAATGTGAGAAAAACCG